CTGGCCAAATGACCACTCCGAGCTATGGTACACAGCTTGGAATGGGAGGCCGAGGGAAAAAAACAGATCAGAGGCCACCAGGTTGATGAGGAATATATTAGTAACTGTGTTGAGCTTTTCAAATTTGAAAAGGATAGATAGTACCAGTCCATTGCCCAGCACACTGATAATGAATATGACAATGTAGAATGGTGGCAATAAATGTGCACTAAAATTAGTTATGTCCGTCAAGTCACACGGTGGCACATAAGTCATTGAAGAATTGTCATCTTCATAGTCAAACGTTGTTGATGTGTCAAACTTGTCCATAGTGCATGCAACCTGTTATAAAGAGCAATTTAACAGCTAAAAAAGATGTAATGTAAAGTAATAATAATAACAGCAAAGCACTTTAGACATAATTTAAAAAAAAATTACACTTACCGCAGGGAGATATTCAGACTGATGAGTTGCCTTTTGTGCACAAAACAAGACTGGTTTTGGCCAAAGGACTAGACTGACTAAAGGTTGGTCAGTATAAAGCTAACTAGAACTGTTCTGCATATAGATGTGGGAGATGTGGGGGTGGGTGTGTGTGTGTGTGTGTTATAATTTTGACTCATTCCATGCATCATCTTCTGCTTCCTCAAAAATGTTATTTGTCATGATTACTACCCTAACACTACTACCAACACCGTTTCTTCCAAATTTTGTTTTCTTGTACTGTTGATTGAACAACACATACACAGTAATTTACACAACACATACACAGTGATTTATTTAACCAATCCTTAAAACTGACAAAAGGCATACACACTTAACAGGACAAAAAAAAAATATTTTAATCAACTCTGTTACTGGCAAGAAACTTTAACACAAAGTAAAACTGCATGATGTATAAGAAAATAAATACAGATTTTGACTAGAACATTTCTGTAAGATTTATCTAAACTCTAAGGCAAAAAGAGTTGCTCAAGGTTTCTGTGGAGTTAGTTTAAGGATTCTAAGTTTACCAAAATATTCCATTTGGACCCGAAAAGTAAGCTCACTGTGAAGAACCTTTAAGGTTTCCCCTGAGAAATAAAAACTAAAGAACCCTTTTAGGTACTAGTTGGAACCTTTTTATGATCTGAGTTTATGATCTGTTAAACAAAAAAAAAAAATGTGTATTGTTCTTCAGTCATTGCTTCAAGAGAATAAAATACATTAAATAAATTACATTTGTCAAAATTGGATTACATTTCGAATAAGACTATGGTATGATTTTTACACTACTTAAATGAATAATGAAGACACATCATTGTTTTATAAAAGGATTAAATACTCTTAGTATAATGCATATCTTTTTGTCTTGTATAATGCATGTTCACATGGAGGTAGCTTCTTCTGGGCAATGCAAGTGCGTACCAGCATCCAAATATTTGTCTTTTAACAAGTCAAAGTGTATGAATTTTACTCAACTGCACTACAATTTAAGTACCCTTTAAGTACAGTGATGATCTTACTTTATCTTCAAAAAAGCACTCAAGTGGGTCGATCAAGTCATCTTGTGTCGCATTCAAGCTTGATAGGTGGGTGACCACAAAATTGTGTCTCCAAATGCAATACATACAATTAATGCCCTCCATATCAGTCAGAACAAACGGCCACTGAATATGCTCTGCTCTCAATTTCTCTGCATGTCACTGTCCTTAGAATATTACTGCATGTATACAGGCATTCATCTAGAATTGGTTTCAGTCCTTTATAATTGTTCTTCTGAATGCCACTCAGTAAAGAACTGACCCTGTGCAGCTCGCTGAGATGCTTCTCATATATAGTCTTTGTGTGTGTGTGTGTGTGTGTGTGTGTGTGTGTGTGTATGCGTGTGTGCTTGTGTCAGAAGTTCGGGCCTTTGCTGTAGTGCTCTTCCCTGAGGTTGTAGGCCGGGTAGCAGATGGACATGTCACACACTCCAGCTGGCCCTGGGGCACCTCGCTTGCCTGGAAGGCCCGGAGAGCCAGATTTTCCCGGTGTTCCCGGAGGACCAGGTAATCCAATTCCATCAGTGCCATGCAGACCCTGGATCCCTGTTGTTGCAAGAACCGAATGGAACAGGGCTAAATAAACTAATATAATTTTGTGGAGTAGGTTTGTAATTTTTTTGTTTGTTTGTTTGAATTTTAGGGGTGTCCAAGTCCATTCATGATGATGTTTGATTTAAAACTACATTGTGTAGGGATCTAGGACGTAAAATGCTATTGCAAGCTACTTTCAAAAGAATATTTCATAATGTGTGGTGTCATGTGTCATCCACCCCTAACTTACTGCAGATTAATCTCTCAGCTGCAAGTGCACACAATCAGAGAGAATTCAGGGCTGTGTTGCAAACCACATAAGTAGTATGCCTGAATAGTAATGGCATCAGTGGTGCATTGGCAAACTATTTAGTGTGGTAGTATGCAGTTTTGGATGGGACTCTAGTGTCTGCGTCTCTGAAGATATAATTAAATTCTGCCATTTCCTCAATATTACAGAAATACTGAGATTAAATTTTATTTTGCACATTAATGTGACTGTCTCAGTTACTGTGTGCAAGATGAAAGAGCAAAACCTCTTGGTATCTCCACTATAATGTCACAGCATCTGTGTTTAGTTCTCATCAATCTGCAAGGAAGATGGCTCCACATGTCTATGAAGATAATAGACCACTAAGTCTAGTTAGCTAGCTAAAATAAAGAGAAAAAAATATCATGTCCGGTCGCTCCTGATGTGTGTGTTCTATTACCCAGAATCACTATCACAATCACAACTGGGTAATGAGGATAAATCTTCTGACTACAATTCAGTATATTTTAACCAATAGAGAGTACAAATAAATGCATTACTTTTTCAGCAGCAAAAGCTAAAATTCCACCAAACCTGAATCCTTTTTCTGCTTATAGTATAATATCACACTTTCTCACTTACAGACTCTGGTTTAATTTGTTTACACAATCTCTCTCCTACTTCCTCTGTCTTGTCATGGTAATCATATTACCATATATTAGGAAAAAATTCCATGCCCTGTAGCTTTAACACACCTGATCCCTATTAATTAATGTTTTTAGAAGGACTAAATGTTAGAGTCAGGCGTGTTGAAAATAAATTCTCCAGGGTGGTAGATCACAGAACCAGACACAGAACCAAACAGAAACCACTGCTGTAAAGAATCCAACCAAAAAGCCAGGAATAACAGTAATTTAGAGGTATAAGACTGGCGTATTGCTAAGTTGGTTGAGTATAAACCTATTTTCTCTGTTCTTTCCTAGTTGCTATTTTCATGGTCGTAAATGAACACATCTGTGTTGATGTGGGTGGAGCAGTGCGAGAGAGGATGTGATATTTGAAATATGGGCCAGAATTCTGCTCGTTCCCACCTGCTGAGAAGCCTTCTTATCATGAATGCAAAGCAAAAACACCATGTCCTAGTTCTTACAACCTGGCTATGTGAATAAATATTATTACGCTGCCCTAATTTCCCCAAATGATATATATAAATATACAATAAATACAATATTATCAGGTGGTGTGATTAATTGCTATACAATCAAATCAGCTCCTCTAATTTCACACAGAGATGAGGAATTATGTAATAGAAACTCTATGATGGAAATGAGCTTGACAAATTAGTTTTTAATTAGGTTTGTTGGACATCTCCAGATTACTGCCTGCAATGTCACAAAAATGCAGAGAATATATATGCCACGTCCAGGCACACTAGCCCCATGAACTTATATGCCTTATTTTTGCATGTGCAGTATGATATGTATCATGGCTATAGCATGTGTCAGCTGAGCTGATCTCTTACCTCTTTCTCCAGGGGGTCCAGGTTGTCCTGGCCTGCCTTCCCCTTTGTTGCCCTTAAAGCCCCTTGGTCCCATGTCCCCTAGAGAATGTTACACACAGAATATGCACGTATTCATTATGTGACCTCATACATCCTCAACCCTATTTGTCAGAGAATTAGTAAAGCTCTGATACCTTTGACCCCCGGGGACCCCTGTAAGCCAGGCGAGCCTGGGTAACCCTGAGAGCCTGGCCTGCCTGGATAGCCCTGCGGTCCAGTAGCGCCTTTAGGACCCTGAGCTCCAGGTGGACCCGGGGGGCCTTTCACCGTCTCGCAGGGCTCACAGCTCCGAGGAATCATCGTCTGCATCAGCTGGGAGAGCTCCTCTAAGGGACACGAGTGTGCAAAGGAGAATCCTGAACATCTTTACACTGATAGGTCGTGGCAATCACAAGTTACACTTCTTCTGGTGTTTGTTTATTCTTATTCCTGAGTACATTTAAGGTTCATTCAGCAAGGTTATGCAAGTTAAATAAATTTTTTACAATTGCTAAGAAGTATGAGTCACTACTAAGTTCACTTTTTCCAAGCTCTTTACACAATGCTTTCTACAATGCTGTATGTGGAACAGAAGGTAAAAACAGTTTTTAAACTGTTTTGGATACAGTTTTGGACACAACATTAATATAGTGAACACAGTCTTCAAAACTGTTGCGTACATTTTTCATTCATTTTCTACCACTAGCAAGACTTTGTATCTCTACAACAAAATTTGCAAACGTTTACATAGTTTTGAGACAACCTATTTCAGTAAATTTACTATTATTTACACTCAGAACCACGCAAGTGGAAGGTTTATGGTCAATGTTTTTTGTTGGGGGTTTTTGGGGGATTTTTGTATATTCTATAAAATTATTGTAAGATTTTATTTGTAATTGAAATTGCAAGCTTAAAATAGAGAGTAATTACAGATTATATAGAGTATTTTCCCATCATTTCGTTTGTTCCTATACGGTAAAGATATACAATTCTTTTTTTTTTTTTTTTTTTTTTTTTTTTTTTTTTTTTTTTTTTTTTTTTTTTTTTTTTTTTTTTTTTTTTTTTTTTTTTTTTTTTTTTTTTTTTTTTTTTTTTTTTTTTTTTTTTTTTTTGCAGTTATGTAAATTTTTTTCTATTGCAATTTTTTTTATCTATACTCTGTTTACACTGTGGCTCCCTGGTGGTCTAGCGGCTAAGGATCTGGCGCTCTCACTGCTGTGGCCCCGGTTTGATTCCTGGGCAGGGAACCAATCCAGCCATTGGGAGTGCACTCCCAGTACCACTCCCAAGCCCGGATAAAATGGGAGGGTTGCGTCAGGAAGGGCATCCAGTGTAAAAATTGTGCCAAATAAAACGTGCAGACCAATGATCTGCTGTGGTGACCCCTAACCGGTGCAGCTGAAAGAACAACAACATCTTTTTTTTTTTTGTATAACACATAAGAATGCTAGTGTTGAAGCTTTGGTGGAATGAGTGTACTCTGAAATGTGTTTGTACTGTTTTGATCACTGTAGAGTATCTGGGGCATAAAATGAACTGTGTCTTACTGCAAGTAGGTGTGTGAAAAGTTCAGAAAAAGTCAATGTGGTGCAGAGAAATGCTAGTTAGCAGTAAATGAAAAAAAATCTGTAACAACCATTAGCTTGTATTGTTATTCTAATGACATCACAGGATACAGGAGATCCTTCATCCCCACTGCCATCAGGCTCTACAACACCTTAGCCAATGGCAGATGACTAATCACTACTCTCATTACTTTACTACTTCACTACTTTACTACTCTCACTAATTTCTACTACTCTCACTACTTTTTACTACTCTTACTACTTTCTTTCTTACTTATCTACAAGACTACCTGAATTTCCCTTCG